ATGTCATGTTCACCTCTTTCCTTCCGTTCTTCTCACTATTCCTTCCGCAGCCAGAAATATCTGTGAGAAACCTGCCAGAGCTTTTCCAGCTAGAGAAACCCTTGCTCATCATGTTCAGCGATGGGGCATTGAGCGAAAGGGACGAAGCGGAAATGAGGCGTTTGGCTGAAGAAGAGATGGACGAATCCTTTGTGACCTGCTGGCTGAACCTGTAAGGATATAGGTTTACCCCCAATGGCTTCCATTTGGGGACTTCTTATTACACTGTGCAACATGACTTTTGTTCCTGGGTTATAAATATCATTTCCTAATTAGTTCTATCATAAAACATGGGAAAAGTTTAATAATACCTCTGAGGATGCTTGCCATAGATGCAGGCGAAACGTCAGGAGAGAATGCCTCTAGACCATGGCCATATAGCCCAAAAAACCCTACAACAACCCAGTTTAATAAACTGCAAAAACTTTGTTTTGGTGGGATATTCTGCTATTATAGTACATTTTGGTTCTCCAGGACCTCTCAGCAGCCTTCAATATTGTAGATCATGGTATCCTTCTGGGTCACTTGCAAGGCTGTTCCGCAGTGGCTCCAGTCCTTCTTGGAGGGTCATACCCAGAAGGTGTTGTTGGGGGACACCTGCTTGGTCCCGCAGCCATTGTCCTGTGGTGTCCCTCAGAGCTCAGTATTGTCCCTCCTGGTCAGTCGCAAGGCCGAACAGGGTCTAGAGTTACAGCCTGTGCTGGATGGGGTTACACTCCCCTTGAAGGCGTGGGTTCGCAGCTTGGGGGTCCTCCTGGACTCATTGCTGAGCCTGGAACCTCAGGTTGCGGTGGTGGCCAGGGTGGCTTTCGCACAATTAAAACTTGTGTGTCAACTGCACCCATACCTTGCAAAGTCAGATTTGGCCACAGTGATCCATGCACTTGTTACATCCAGGATAGACTACTGCAACACACTCTATGTGGGGTTGCCTTTGAAGACTGTTTGGACGCTTCAGATAGTCCAACAAGAGGCAGCCAGGCTAATAACTGGGGCAGCATACAGGGAGCAAAGAACTCCCATGTTACGTCATCTCCACTGGCTACCCCTTTGCTACCCGGCACAATTCAAAGTGCTGGCTTTGCCCTATAAAGCCATATTTATTTATTTATTTATTTAGCAGTTTTGTATACCGGTCTTCTCACCTCCATCGAGGGACTCAGGCCGGTTTCCAACATCAATATCACAAACAATCATTGAAAACATCATATTCCAAATTACGCTAAAACATTAAAAAGCAAATATACAGTCATATAATTACATTACTATGGTCAGTCGTCATCATAAAATCGCTGTTCGTCAACATCCATCCATATCACAGGATCTTGACTCATTCTTCGAATGCCAGTTTCCAGAGCCATGTTTTCACCTGTTTTCTGAATGTCAAGATAGAAGAGGTAGTTCTGATCTCCAGTGGAAGGGAGTTCCGGAGTTTATTTATTATTTATTTATTTACAACTTTTATATAAACAGCCCCGGCCCAATTTACCTGTCCGAACGCATCTCCCTCTATGAACCATTGCGGAGATTAAGATCCTCCGAGGAGGCCCTGTTCTCAGTCCTGCCACGATCACAGGCACATTTGGTGAGGACGAGAGTCAGAGCCTTCTCAGTGATTGCCCCTCTGGTTATGGAACTACCTTCCCGGCAATATTAGATCAGCCCCCTCCCTCCTGTCCTTCAGAAGGATGATGAAGACCTGGCTGCGGGACCGAGCCTTTGGGGCAGTGCAAGGAGGCAATAATCGAATGGGGTCCTGAGATGGTTTGAATTTGAAGTGTTTATAAGTGATTTTAATATTCGTATACATTTATGGTTTTATGTTCCGGCATTGAATGTTTGTCGTATATATGTTGTGCTCCGCCCTGAGTCACCTGCAGGGTGAGAAGGGCGGARTAGAAATGTTTCAAATAAATAAATGTGGGAGACCCYGGTGACACAGTGGGTTAAACCGCTGAGCTGTTGCRTTTGTTGACCGAAAGGTCGCAGGTTCGAATCCGGGGAGTGGCGTGAGCTTYCRCTGCCAGCCCCAGCTTCTGCCAACCTAGCAGTTTGAAAACATGGAAATGTGAGTAGATCAATAAGTACYGCTCCGGCGGGAAGGTAAYGGCGCKCCATGYAGYCATGCTGKCCACATGACCTTGGAGGTGTCTACGGACAACRCYGGCTCTTCGGCTTAGAAATKGAGATTAKCACCAACCCCCAGAGTCGGACAYGACTGGAYTTCATGTCAGGGGAACAACCTTTACCTTTACYTAAATAAATAAATAATTTTTGCTATACTTWTTTAASCWAGTCCCAACCCATTCAATGAATGACTATCTCATWGGGTCTCAACCAAKTCAACCTAGYTTGTGGCASCCACAAGWACARAATTTCTGRMGTAGAASAACTACTTTCAAAGTAAATACYACAYAATTAAACAGGAAATGATGCTTTCAAACCAGGAACAGAAAAAAAATACCAAATTTTGTTGCATAGTGTTATCCTTTATTTATATAGCTCTATCACTGTACATGGTGCTTCAGAGTAAAACGACCCAAAACAGTGGGTAGGATGGGGGAACGGTTTCTGTTTATATTATTAATCAGCCGCTCTTTGTAACACAGTAAGAACACACCTGTCGGTCGAGGAATATTGAGGGCCTATTTTGGAAGCTCCATCCCTCCTCTTCCGCTCCTCCTCTGGATCAATCTCCATTCCGGGGGCCAAGTGTTCGCCTTCCCATCCGATCGATCCCTTTCGGTAGCCAGTGTCCAAACGTGGATCAAGGAGCTGAAGGCCGGCCAGGAAATCCCAAGCGGTAAGTATGTCAGTGTGGAATAATGGCTTGAGCGTTGGGCGATGACTCTGGAGACCAGAGTTCGAATCATTTTCCAGCCATGAAAACTTACTTGTTGACCTTAAGTGGGTCACACGCTCTCAGCCCAAGAAAGTCCCTTAGGGTCACCAATAGTCGGAAATGTTTTGAAGGAACACAACAGCAAAGTATAAAGCATTGAAGCATTGTGCAAAAATACACCAGTCTGGAGGGTAAAGCTGAGCTGCACAAATACCTTGGATTTCAGCAGGCTGCTTTTACACCATTAGGCTATAATGTCTGTGTGTGTGTGTGTGTGTATATGTGTGTGTGTATATATATATATATATATATGAGCTTTTATATGTATGAGTTTTTACACCATTAGGATGTTGTGTTTATATATAAATACACACGAGAGTTTTTGTACTATTTATGTGAGCTTTTGCACCAGTAGGATGTTGTATGTGTGTGTGTATAAACACGTGTGTATATACACACAATACACACATGTACATTACACACATTACACATACATACAGTGTATACATGTGAGCTTTTACATCATTTAGGTATTGTGTGTGTGTGCATATATATATACACATACATATACTAGTTTTACACCATTTGGATGTTGTGTGTGTATGTGTGTAATATATACTTTTGCACCATTGGGATGTTGTGTATGTGTGTATAAACACAACGTGTGTGTGTGTATATGGGGGTGTGTATATATAAATATATACTTTTGCACCATTAGGATGTTTTGTATGTGTGTATAAACACAACGTGTGTGTGTGTGTATGTATATATACACACACACACAGCACACTCTCTCTCATGTACATTACACACATTACACATACATACACTGTATATATAAGAGCCTTTGCATCATTTAAGTACTGTGCTATGTGTGTGTGTGTGTGTATACACACACACACACGTTTTACAACATTTGGATGTCGTGTGTATATATGTATGTGTGTGTGTATGCTTTTGCACCATTAGAATGTTGTATATGTGTTTACTAAATGTGTATGTGTATATATATGTGTGTGTGTGTGGGTAACTTTTACACCATTTGGATGCTGTGTTTATAAATATATATATATGAGTATTTGTGTGTGTGTGCATATATATATATAAATATATGTTTTGGCACCTTTAGGATGTTGTGTGCATGTGTATGAGCTCAGTTCCTCTCTAAGGCCTCTGCTTGAAGTCTGATCATTACATCCGTGGAGATGCACCATATAAAGAAATAGTTGTGTTTCTTATTTCACTATGCTTTGTATTTTGGAACCCAAAGGGTAAAGTCAGCCTTCCACATTCCCTACAGGATCCCTAATTTTAAGCCCCACCAAAACCATTCCTTAGCGTGCTTTGCTTAGGTTCCCCCTTTGGACTTTAATGCAGTCAGCCATAAACATCTTCTGGGATCAGAGGCATTACTTACTTAGGCAATCCCTCCTAGTCCGAGGATGATGGTCCTCCAAGTGTAGTGTCCTGGTGGTGGGTCCGTAGGTGACTGTGGAGCCCTATTCTTGACCTGCATCTTCTCCCGCAGTGAGGGCATCAGTTTCCAGGTGGAAGGCGGTCCCGGTTGGGGTTGGCTTGACGCGCCTTCCTCTTGGCACGTTTCTCTCTTTCGCTCTTCATTTGTGCCTTTTCGAATTTACAGCACTGCTGGTCACAGCTGACCTCCAACTGGAGTGCTGAAGGGCCAGGGCTTCCCAGTTCTCAGTCTCAGGGATCAGAAGCATAAAACACTTGTGAAAGTGAAAATGCGCTGGTAAGGAAATTGCTAATTGTTTTATCTGGAGAGGAGAGTTTTCTAGGAATGTGGAGGCCTTCCAGCATGACTGTATGGGCTGTTTCTACTGGAAGTGGACCATGGAATCATAGAATCAAAGAGTTGGAAGAGACCTCATGGGGCATCCAGTCCAACCCCCTGCCAAGAAGCAGGAATGTTGCATTCAAAGCACCCCTGACAGATGGCCATCAAGCCTCTGTTTAAAAGCTTCCAAAGAAGGAGCCTCCACCACACTCCGGGGCAGAGAGTTCCACTGCTGAACGGCTCTCACAGTCAGGAAGTTCTTCCTCACGTTCAGATGGAATCTCCTCTCTTGAGTCACACTGGAGTCACACTGGAAGACTTGGAGAGAGTATTCTTTAACCAAATCCATGAATAATAACATCCAGAAAACTCAAAACCGCCAATATGGAGGGGTGACTGTATAAAACAGAGTTGCAACATGAAACAGCTTGGATTTCTCCAGGCTAATGAATGTGGTGCTGTTGGAGAGAGGTTCTGTTTGCAGTATTTCTGCAAGTTTTTCTTAAATTGCCGTCTGCATCCGGTTGTGCCTCAGGCGTACTGAGAACTGGGTTTTCCTATATATGCGAAGTTGTGATCATGAGGGGAAATTTTGACCTCATATCCGCAGCTGAAGGGATGCTTTCCTGGAAATGAAAAAAACCACAGTCACCAAAGAGAAATTTCAGTATTGCTCAGCTCATTAGGTCGCAATTGCTTGCAGTTATGGGTGATTTGGGGTGAATAAGAAAGGCTACCCATAGTATCAAGTGAACTTGGTGTTAAGCAAGTGTTATGTTCCCTATTTGGTCCTGGAACGTAACCCCAACGATAAGTGAGGGAACACTATATACATTCACTTTTATTTTATTATATAAATAGATAGATACAGAAGATAAATATAGATTTATTTAGTTACTAGCTGTCCCCTGCCACGTGTTGCTGTGGCCTAGTCTGGTGATCTGGAAAATAAAGTAATGTTTTCTAATCTATGTAATGTCTTTCTGCTTGTGGGTAAACAGTATTTCTTGTTGTTT